CACAGTTCAAGATTATTGTTCACAGAGTAGGAAAAAAAAAAAGATAATTTGCATGATTAACATTTGCCTGGAAGAAAAGTAGATGAGAGGGAAAAGGGCTAATAGAAAGATCTGAGAAGTGGGGGTGGGGCTGGAGAAGTCATTCAAAATATGAAGAAAAAGAACTTCAAAAGGAGAACTGTGTGCCTTGTAAATTTACTTGGTTTTCTTGGGGGGGGGGAGGAATGCTTTTATATTCTAAAAATATATGCAAGAGTCCCAATATGAAGCATCAAAGATGACATTTTTAGTTATGGCCTTGTAAATGTTCAGCAGTTGGCTCTCTAGGTGAAATATTAACTCATGATGAAATATTTCCAATTTCAAAAAAATGAACATATGAAATAGGAAAAGTTTTATTAGTCTGTCAACTCTCACGAGCTGATGTGAGCCAGCTTTAGCTCATCATTCTTTTTACTTGAATTTCAAATGTTCTTTCACATATTAAACGTAAATGTTAAAATTCTTAAAGGCATATTTGAAGTATTTGACTCCAGATAATATGCTTTTTAAAATATCAATTATTTAGTCAAAATTAAGTTTGTTTTATTTTCAAAGCAGACATGTAGTTAAATTTTTTCAAAGCAGACATACAAAGTGCAAAAGTTCAGAATCTGGCTGCTGCATTTTCTAACTATGTGACTGTGGACACATTATTTAAGGTCACTTTGCATCTGTTCCCTCATCTTCAAGGTAGAGATGACGGATGACGAGGTCGTCATGAAAATTAAATCATGGATACAGGAAATGTATTTAGAGAAATGCCTAGCACATTGCAAATCCTCAGTTAGTTTAGCTGTATTTTGATATATTTATTTCTGGCTTAGTAATGGTTGAGGAATTAGACAACATAAGAAGCATAGTATTTAAATGGATGTTGATGCAAGGGAAATTGGATCATAGAGAGAAGGGAAAATACTTTCAGTCACAGAAATCTACCTACTAAGATGACTTAAGGTGGGGATATTACAATGAATATTCCTGAAAAGTTATTATTTTCTATGTTTTATTCACCTTGTAGAGTATAAATTTGGCACAATTGTGTCTTTCTATGTTTCATTTGGAGAGTTGACAATGGTGTTAGGATGTCTGTTCTAAACTACCAATCACTACATTTTCTTATGTTCCCAACTCATTTTTAAATGGAACTTCAAAATAGTTTTAAGACATTTACTATTTTAGTCTTTTATGATTTAATTTTCCCATATTATTTTTTCTTGTTGAATAATCCGTTTCTACTTCTGCCCCTCCATTTTGACCTTGAATAAATGCAAGACTTAAGTTATTCTGATCACTCTACTATTACAATTGCCCCTATACACTCCAGTCTATATTCTAAAAAGATGCTTTAATTTTGCACAATGTGTGTATATTTAGAGCTCCAGTTCACCATATAGAATCTTCAGTAACATAGCCATTTCAGGATCAGAAAAATGCTCTCATTATCTGGTATTTAATTAGCTTAAAATCAAGTAAGTGATTTTTTTTAAATAATTAAAGGAAATAAACACTGAACAGGAGGGAAAAAAAGGATAGTTATAGGATGCCTGATAAAATATCCAGCTTCTAGACTTCAAAGTCCCATTTCCTTGAAATCTCCATAAATTCTTAGACTAGAATGACTCCTCTGAAACCTGAGATGGTATTGAGCTGAACCAGAGGAAAGATCATCTAAAAATAATTTCTCAATGATATGACCATGTGAACCTTGCAGATGGTAAGCAAGATGAGTACTGTATCACACCTAGACCTCCTCCTCCTTTGTTACCACACTTGTATAAAATTTCTGATTACTTTGTAAATGTCTAAATAAGTTTCTCTTCCTCTCTGCCTCTTTTAGATGTTGTTTCATACAAACCAAGCATGAGTAGGTCCTTCCAAATATTTCTTTGATGAATGCATTTTGAGCCTTGATCCTTAATTGCAAATATACTAATTGTGTTAACTGGGAAAATTAGTAATTTCTTTGGAAAAACTCTCTGAGATTGAATGAATGGTGACTTTCAGCCACATGGAGTTTGGAGAGAAAAAAAAAAGCCTGTCCAGGTTATAATAAAATGTTAAAAAAGTCAACTCAGCTTTAGAAATTTTACTGCCTGTTACACTGGCTTTTGAAGTGATTTTATAAATCACATGTCCTAAGGATATTTAGGATTAGTAAAGTCTCCACATCGGTTTGTCCTCTATTTGGGATATATAGAGAGATTAGTAAAGTCTCCACATTGGTTTGTCCTCTATTTGGGATATAAATACATATATATATATGTGTGTGTGTGTGTGTGTGTGTGTGTGTATACGTATATATGTGTGTGTGTGTGTGTGTATGTATACGTATATATATGTATGTATACGTATATATATATGTATGTATACGTATATATATGTATGTATACGTATATATATATGTATGTATAC